CACAACATGCATCATGTGACTCTGGGTCACCTGACTTTCAACAAGTGGCACCGATAGTTCGAGTTGTCTGGTGTACCATACCATTTTGTTTCATGCCAAGAAAATGGCTGTCAGATAATCCAATACCATTCAGCTTTGAGTGGTAGTTCTATTAATTATTGTTGATATGGTGATTGGTGAAGTTGTATGCTGCATACAAGCAGTTGTGCAGTTTGATCTCGGTTGAGGATGATCAACATCATTTATCTCTTTCATGAAAGTTTATGTGGGCGGGAAACAACTTTAATATTTGGTTATGAGTTTAATGCAGTACATATTGCAAAAATGCCTGGGGTTACCGAACAAACATTTCAGCATCAATTAACTGAATAATATTTGTATCTTGGACGATTTAGACTCATGATTTCCCTAGTAACTATGAATTCAGGGGAATGTAGTAAAGGATTTTAAAAGTAGCGGGATAGCCACTCCCTCAGAGGAGGTGGGATAATGACAATATTTCATGAACAGTTAATGAACTTGGAGTGGATGCAGACACAGAGGTGCATCTCAGTTTACTGGTTTGCATCTCAGATTGCATGTTCAAATCTCAGATTGCATGATTGCATCTCAGCTTGCTGGTTTGCATCTCAGATTTTACCGTCAATCTTCACTCACAAATATTAGTAGAAAAAAACACAAGTGGAATATATACGGTATTTGCTTTACTAGTAGCACATACCTTAATGACAGAAGTTGGTCCATGATCAAATTATTAGTCATACTTTAACGTTCCAGCATAAAATAAAAAACAAAACTTGGTGTATGTGCACTTTTATGGAAGATGGCTTCTGATAGAGTAAATGTGCTAACAAACATTCAGAAAAACCATCAAACATTGTGAATATTTTGGTGAAAATAAATTTCTAAAATGAGAAATACCACAAATCAGTGTTTATTTATTGACAATTTGTACTTACTTGTACCGATATAATGGGTCCTTTGTTTTTGTAGAGATATAGCGAGATGATCTGAAACAGTGTATCCAGCCATTTATCCACTGGATTAAGGTAATCTGGATCTGATGATCTCAACTGAATTTTGGGATTGTTTTTCAATAACCAGGATGGTAAACCGCCCTAGGACAAAAGATTACAATCAAAAAATAAAACACATGTTGAATTATTGCTTTTGAAAAATCACAAAATAAATCTGAATAATTTACCCTACAACTTGTGATCAAGATCTGCAATGGAAGACTATGTCCAATAGTGAAAAAATTAACACAAACAATGAGAAATGTGCATAGATTTTAGGTACATAGATTTTAAAAAATAAAGTAAACCCTTCAATTGTTTTAGCCGCTAGAAGAACAATTTGCTATTTTATAATTTATGAGCATTTGCAAAGACAAAATTCAGCAAAAGTCATTACCACTCTCTAGGGATTTAGGGATTGTCACTGCAACTCTTTAGGTCATTAGGGAAAGTCACAGTGACTCCCTAGGTCATTAGGGAAAGTCACAGTGACTCCCTAGGTCTTTAGGAAAAGTCATGGTGACTCCCTAGGTCTTTAGGAAAAGTCACTGTGACTCCCTAGGTCTTTAGGAAAAGTCACTGTGACTCCCTAGGTCTTTAGGGAAAGTCACTGTGACTCCCTAGGTCTTTAGGAATGTCACTGTGACTCCCTAGGTATTTAGGGAAAGTCACTGTGACTCCCTAGGTCTTTAGGGAAAGTCACTGTGACTCCCTAGGTCTTTAGGGAAAGTCACTGCGACTCCCTAGGTCTTTAGGAAAAGTCACTGTGACTCCCTAGGTCTTTAGGGAAAGTCACTGTGACTCCCTAGGTCTTTAGGGAATGTCACTGTGACTCCCTGGGTCTTTAGGGAAAGTCACTGTGACTCCCTAGGTCTTTAGGGAAAGCACTGTGACTCCCTAGTTCTTTAGGGAAAGTCATGGTGACTCCCTAGGTCTTTAGGGAAAATTACTGACTCCTAGAACACAAATAAAAATCTTTGTGACACCAGTGATATACAATATTCAGTTGTTTCACGAATATTTTGCGATGCATAAAATTATCTGAGAGTCATTTGACAGTAATATCGGATTTGGTGATGACAGTTGCCATGACAATAGTTGCCATTCAATTAACATATAAAGAATAGAGTTATTACCATATCCCATTCGCCGCATATGTATGGTCCAATTCTTGCTATAACCAGTAGACCAGTATCATTGGCAAGCTGTAGAAATCCTGGCAAATCAGCATCTCCTTCCATAACAAATTTTCCCTCGGTAGGTTCATGCACATTCCATGGAATGTATCTAGTAGTAGTATAATGATTAAGTTATTACCGTGGTTACAGAGAATAATACTGTATACCACAAAGGAAAGTAAACAATATGTAAAGTAAAGTACTGCATGTATGTTTTCAAAACTAAAATTTATTCACAAATGGGACTTGGAGGAACCTTTATTCAGATTCATAGGTGGTTGTGCTTGAGAAGGCTTGGATTAGCTATTTAATAGATACTGCTAAGAAATTGCATAAGTTAAACAAAATGGCAGTCAATCTGAGCATGAATGAAAATCAAACAAAAAATATTTCCATGATTTTTTAACCATCACCCCTGACAAACAATTTCTTTTTACATTTGCACAGCATTAAGACCAGCAGTGTACATCTTCTTTAGTCTGTCTTGCCAATAGAATTTAGGTATTCTTGTATAATGTATACTTCCAGAGATGTAACGAAATGGCTTGCCATCTTTCAAAAAACAGTCATTATCCCAGTCAACAGTGAAAGATCGTCCATCTGCCTAGAATAATAAACAAAGAAAATAATTAGCAAGTTTGTTTCAAAAGTCTGGGTATATTGAACAATTAACAAGGACTACAATTACCTACCACCATGACCTATATTTTGAATTCACTACATTCTACATACTAAATTCTGTTACTAGGAAAATTATAGATTTATTACTTATGGTGCTGCTGGTGAGGTTACGTCTTTCACACACACAACACAACAAAAGCCATAAGCAGTTTACGGTTATGGGGTGCCGTTGACTGAAATTTTCTAAAAGTTCATGCTTATTTTAAAATAGCGTTCACTGGCCTCTCAAGTATTTGCTGAAAATAGAATCCTCGGTAGCTTCACTTTAATCTACTTTTGTTATCACTACTGCAGTGAAGATTTACTCTTGATCTTCTTCGAGATCGATCAGTCCAATCAGTACGTTGATCAGTTTTCATTAACTTCATCTAACGTCCAGACGACATGCGTCACTATTTTGGCTATAGATTAAGTTCGGCATGGTGACGATCATTATGAAACTTGAGTTGCCATGGAAACTGACAGGTCATGGCGATTTTTTTCCTTTCATACACATGTGTTATATATAAGAGGTTCTCTTGTCTTCACAGGGGATGTAAAGTAGAATTTAAAACTGCTTTATTTACAAATAGATTGCATAGTTCGTTAGTTTAGTCAATGATTATATACACAAAATGTGAACAGCCCTGGGAGTGCAATGTATAATAATGTAAGCTCATGACAGTTTACATTATAATACATTTTGTGAGTTAGTATAACTAGAAATTGATTTACTAGTCTAGCTAATACTAATTGCTGTATTTTGGTGGTACTAGGATAGTATCACTGACGTTTTTTCACATTAAACTGAAAATAAAAATACCCTACTAATCCAGGATTCCTGAATCCCGAATTGATAGCGTTTTGATGCTTATCATTTGTACATCTTTGCATACTGTATGACCTGAGGTCAACAACCGAAAGTAGAACAGATTTTGAATATTACAAGTTCATTGAGTTGCAGTACACTTGTTTCTAATTTGCAGTGTAAAAAATCCCCTCAAATACACCTAGAATATTCACTTTTGAGATTTTTGGTATGTGCTGGTTCTTGAATATTTCACCTTCGTCGTTCTGTACTTCATTTAGTAATTCAAACTTTCCAGATTGCGTAAAAAACGGATAGTTTCGCGATTTTGACACTGAAAATGCCTTTGCTTCATTATTTGCTGAGGGACGGCCGCTTAGGTATGTGCTCTGTAACTTACAGCACATGAACCTAAAAGCGTTAGGTAATCAAACAAAAATGACGTTACGTTGAACTAAAGTACATAAAGTACATTCAAGGTCTTCACTTTTTCGTAGCATATAAAATGATTTGCTCCCTCGCTTATTGTGACACCCTCAAATTGACTGATTTCCATTCTCCTCAAAAGTCAACCCCTTTTTTACACTACAACTCGAAACAGTCGTTTATGCTTCACATGTTTATTTGCCTTCAATTACGTTTTGGTCTTTTCCCGGAATCGATTGGGTTGCAATTAATATAGCTATCGCTGCGGTAAAAGAACTCACCTCTTGGTTATTACTTAGACAACTAATAAATTCATAAAATTACTAATTTATTAGTTGTCAGAGGTTATCACCGTTTTTCGTTGCCGGAGGGATTAACGTCCCAAATTTTGGTTCTAGGGCACCTTTAATAATCAACCTATCTAACAGCTTGAATTGGTGTTATAACCATAGAAGGTAACAATACTATGTTAGTACCTTCCATGATATAATCAAACAATCATGGTAGATTGACTTTGACCTTCTCTCGCTTGGAAAGCAAGGCTGATAAGACTTGATTTTCATAGACGCAGGTCGTTTATATCAGACAGTTTCTTTTGTTTCAAGTTTGTTGTTGTTTTGGCTGAATCATGGAGGTAGATTGTGATTCTCAATTTCTATGAGTAAAGTTATATCTGTGTGGCTCTCTCGGCACGGGCTACTGACTTTTAGCTTTTTTTTTTTACTATTCCGACGGTTTCTTGGTTACGTTTTGTATATACCAGTCAGATACTGACAAGTAAGTACGATCTGGGACATGGTAGTCAACATGGAGGGTTGGCATTGGGTATTTTCGTAAGCTGTAATCAATTGTTTTTATTTACATAAAAATGTAATTTAAATGAATAAAAACCGTAAATTCGTAGACATGAACAAGCTGTGAAATGTAATCAGCTATTTTATTCGTCTGTAATTTTGAAATAGCTTGTATCTGTAAAGTGTAAATCCTATTTTTTAACTGTAAATGAATCTTCATCATTTTATTTCCAGCTACCCCTTGCCCCCCGGCCTCAATATGGGACTCTGAATAACAGGTAGGCCCGGAAGATAGCGTCATTATACAGTATTGATAAACAAAATTCACATTACAATCTTATGCTTCCGAACAATCCTATATTTATGCTGGATAACACAGAACACAAGTACTGGAAACTGTCAAGTACATAGTGTTGTCAAATCAGTAAGGAAAAGATACTATGGACTCTATGGTATACATGTACATAACAATTTTACTACAAAATAAATGACAGTGAATACAATATTTTCAATCATCTCATTTTTTTTTCAAATCCTACAGCCACCATTGGACAACTTGATAATATTGCTAAACCGCCAGTTGTGAACTTTAAATCTAATTTGTTAGGATTTCCATATGAAGTTTGACAAATAATGATTTTCTTTGTCAAGGTTATATAATGAATTCTCTAATTAATATTTTGCGTGTATTTTTGTGAATGTACCTGTATGTATTAAAATATGTACACATTATATTATAGCTTACAAAATATTTGTACACTATTGTCGAGTAATATGAGGGGTGCACTAGAAACTAGCGAGGATATGTTACATCCCAGTTAACGTATATTCATTTTTACTACCTTATACTATACTAAAATACACAGATAGAGAAAATGTCTCATGGCATGGAAAAATAATGCTTTCTTTTGTCCAGGTTATATGATAAATATTTTGAGTGTGTATGTATTAAAATATGCAATCATAGTACACATGCAAAGTAAACAGAATTATGTGAATTTGCATTGGTGGTAGGAATTTTCATGCCAGTGAAACAATTGGGTACAAATATTTTCGTAAATAAGAAAGACGTTCTCTCATTAGTGTGTATCATTTATGCATATAATTACATATCTCATATACTTTGTATCATTTTAATTATACATGGTATTCCCAGATTAATACTGGTTGTAGCACATACAACATTAGATTCTCAACTCCAAAGAAAAGTCAAGTCTCTGCCACTCACCGCGAAAGCCACTCATCGCGATGCTACTAGTATTATAAAGAATTTGATTGTGAAATTTAATAATATACTGATAGCAAAATTTCATGATATAATAATAATTGGAGTGAAAGCTCATTATTTATTAATAATCATACCTGATGCTTATTATCTGTGGTTAAATTATAAAAATATGACATAACTAGAAACACAAACACCACCCCATATATTACTCAATTTGTAACATTGACCTTGCTACATTAAAAACAAATTTCATGGAAATGAACAATAATTTTTACACAGGTTGTGTACACAGCATGGTACCCACTTATTTATTCATATGAACATAAATGAACAAAACTGTCTAAAGAATTAAAAATATGTTACGTTATACTCGTATTATATATATATATATATATTAATATGCCCGAAAATAAAAAGCTCATGGAACTCTGGAGATGGCACAGTCAATTCAGAGAATATCATACGGTGTGCAAACAAATATTCAGGACTTGTAGATTTGTTTTTTATGCATATGCAACACTTAATTAATATTTTCATTTTTCAATTCTACCATCACCTTCATAGTTTAAATGGTCAATCCCTTAAATATAGTGTTCATTGTTATTATAGATGGATAGATATTTTATTTGACACAAAATTTAGTATGGTCTGTGTCTAAAATTTGTTCCACTGATAACTCAAGATCAAAATCTACAGTTTAGTATGAATGAAAAAAAACATACAATAAATAAATAGTTCAGAAAACAAACAAAAAATATATTACATAAAAATATTATATAAAAATATTATATTTTTATGTGGTGGAAGTACTGACGTTATTCTCAAGGTGTCAAGAAAATGTTATAGTGTGTTTATTGTCGAGACAAAATAATTTTGTGTAAGGTATCTCTCTCTTGCTCACTTGGAAAATTTGCTAAAGATATCTTTTTATTACTTTTATCGCTGAAACTCAAAATAAAAATGATTCAGGTATTGTGTACTTTATATTTTCACCCCACTTGCATTTTCAGCTATCTTTTGTTGTATTATCGCGACACTGTGCACTTTCCATTGTGCGTTGTTGTGCAATAAGATCCCTAGAACCGATGACTGGAATTCTGAACCGCTGTATCTTGGTATTTAGGGTTTATTGCTGATGTCGACGTGGCCTGTCGGTTAAACTACGCTCCAAAATATCGAAATCCATTGATCATATCACGATTAGAAAAACGTGATCAGCGTTTAGCGTGAGTTGAGTACGGCACAAAAGATGTGAACTTACTCGATGTCCCGCCCCCATTGATTTTCACCTCGCCAACACAAATCTCATTTCCGAAATACGGAGATTAAAAGGTATAGCGTTGTTCCACTGCCTCGTATTAGACAAACGTAATTAACAAAATACGCATACTTACCAAATTACTGCAAAGACACCAATATAATGTACACAAGACGACGAAAGTTGTGTGATAAGCCGCCATGTTTGCAGCTGCCGTTGGTCATATGACTACATAACGTGACTGCTACGAAATGGCACTCCCCAGTCTCGAAAATAAACACACATTCTCCGGTTTATTATTATCGGACCTAGTTTTTTAGTCTGAAACCTTACAATGTAATACCCATCGTATATGTAAGTGTTTATAGTAATGCTAACTTTAGAATTGTAAATAAAAGCACCGCAGCAGACAGTCAAGGTGCCAGCAGATAAAAACAAACGTTTTGATTAAATCGTCGGTGTAGGCGCACCCAAGTTCAAACGCGATATATAACTATAGCTGCACGAAGCAATAATCGGCTTGAGTCAATAGGCTATTGAACTCACATTGTTATGAATATGTCAGTTGTTGATAAGATAATACCAACCAACAAACTGCCATGATAATGAATATATAATGGCAGTACAACATGTACTGATCAAGAACGTGTTGGTGTTGGCTTGGTAGCTAGGGGACACAACCACCTTACTCCAGTGTCTAATTTTACTCCCATCAATTCGGTAGCATACCCATATCTATAGTGGTTTGCTTGTAATAACTTGCATGCATATTAAGTATGTCACGTAACCTCCATATCATTATGTTCGAACACAGGGCGGGGGGCGGTCGTCCCCTCGAAAAAATGTTGGAGGCGTCGCCCCTCCAAAATCAAGCTGAAACCTTTTGTGACAGCAAAATTTGCCCCTCAATATGCAGGAAATAGCTTTTCAGAGAGTCTAGAGGTTGGTGAGCAGATCTCGTCCCCTTATGCAAAAGAGAACCGGCAAAATTTCGTGCTTCTGACTCAAACGTGCTATTCTGTGCTATACTATTCTTAGCACAACTTCGTGAAAACGACACTTGTAAGCAAGATTGCCATGGGCGTGGTCATGGTTGCTAGAGTATGAGGTCATGCAAATGAGAATGTCCAAGAACATGCACAGTAATTTAAAAGGGAAGTCGAGGCGAACAACACAATGCTCCCTAAAGAAAGAGCTCCACAAATGTAGGAGAATGCAATTTACATCACTTTCAGCTTCATTCTCTAGATATTCAACTTTTCATCAGTATTATGTAGTCTGACATCTTGATCTTCCAGCAAAGGATTGTGGGAAAAGCGTGACATCATATCCGCTGTTGTCATAAATTGAGAAAATTATTTCATTTATAACTTCAAAAGTTTAACTTCAAAGTATTGTGGAGAAATCAATAATATATTACTACGGTGGCCATGATGATTGCATGCACCATTGCATATAAAGGTTAGTATGCTAATAAGAAATATTCAAATGATGACATGATTGGTTCACAACACATTCCAGTACCCTCAAACCAGAACGCTGCTTTTTAAATCACTACAAAATGTTAACTAGTGATATAGAAATGCTGTTGTATGATATTACGGCGGCCATTTTGGATTTTAATGAAAATTAGCAAAATCGACCCAAAGATAACTTTATGTCATATATATTAATAAAATTTATGAATATTTTTAGCAGTATATTGGCATATACCAATTAAGCAAAAAATGGCACACGGAAAACCATTGGGTAAACCATGGTTGTCTAGTGGTATTCTGAAATCGGTAAAAACAAAACATAAACTTTATTAAAAAATGTGCAAATATCCAGGAAAAGAAAATTTTAAAAGCAAATATAAACATTATCGCAATATGCTAACTACTGTCACCAGAAAGGCTATACAAATGTATTACTACAAGCGTTTTTTAGAAAACAGGGGAAATATCAGAAAAACGTGGCAAATTATTAATGAAGTTGTAAACAAAAATTGTAACATTCTCAAAACCCCCTGGAAATTGCAAAGTCAATTAGAAGGGAATATTGGAAATTATGTAACTACAGACAAGGAAATAGCTAATGAATTTAATACTTTTATACAAATATAGGGCCTAAACTTGCAGCACAAATAAATTTTAATGTCGACTTTGCCTCATTTTTCTCCAATTCCAACTAGTAATTCTTTATATTTTCA